ATAAACAAGTATGGAGTGTATACATATAATTAAATAAAACTATTAAATTGATTCTTGTACAAACAATTAAATTGCCCTCACTCTGTGATTAATACAAGTGTGAACAGTATTATAATACTATAAAATACATCAGATAGATACTAATAGGTATATCTATACAATGATTCAAATAAAATAAATAAAACCAATATATAAAACGTTTTACCTAGCAAACCAATTAACAAATAAAACGTCAAACAAATACTACAATTGCACATAGTACTAGATTCACTAAAAGAACACTAGGAGACAATTATAGTAAACATAATCTGATATATTACTTATATGCAGATTGTGTTACAATACATTATTCTTTGCAAAAGAAAAAGCAAAGAACAATAGCCATAACATACACACATATATACACAATACTATGATTGTAACAATTCACAATAACATTGTTAATGATAAATAATACAAACACACGTTAGTAATGATTTACAATGGATAACTATGTTGGCTATTAAAGAAACAATGCAACAGATTGTATAGTTACTCAGGATGCATCAGAAACAATCAATTAACAAACATAATGTTAATAAATTAATACATAACTATAAACAATAATGTAAAGCAAACGAACAAATGATACATTCATGATATAATACATATATGATGCACCTAGACACATAGCAAGATGCCTGCAGCCAGACATAACATCTATGCAACAAATATACATTAGCATAAAACCTTATTGATCTCAGAATGAAGCAATCTGACAAAAACAAATATTATTATTAATATTACTAATATACAATCAATGCAAAGCTTCAATCCAAAGACATAAATCAGCTATTACTGAATGCTTAACACATATACAAACGTAGACAAACATGGACAGTAATAATTAAAGAAGGATATTATTGTAACATTGAATATACATTTTACTAGCATGATTCATTAGTTTCACAGTGAAGTAAAAAGGAAATTACTAGAGTACTCAAACAAACTTAATAACAAACAATATGTCTGAATAACAAACAATAAAACAAAACAAGCAATTACATTTATGATTTATATATGTGCATATACAAACCTACATATGCCAACAAGATTCTGCAGGTCTCTGAAGCATTTACAAATTATTTAATAACATTTACAAACAATCTATTGTGATAACAATACTGTTATTGAACAATATATTATGAACGAACAAACTAATTAAATATAATTAATTAATATAACATTGGACAAACTTAACACAAAGTGGATAACATTTGGAACAGACAGTACACAGAACAGACAATGCATTACTATAATGCTAATAATATTATTATTAACTACATCAAGTTATAAACACATTACACAAACAAACAATTGTACAATACAGTTATAATGATTAAACTATCTAT